AGTTTTCAGAACTTCACCCCMGTCCTGGGCAGTTTCTCCCTCCCCAGCTCCAGCCCGGGCTGGAAATCTCATTGCTGTTGTGGGAAATGAGGGGATGCTCAGGGTTTGCAGGGAGAATCCACAACCCCAGGGAGAATCCAGAGCTTCAGGGAGAATCCACAGCCCCAGAGAGAACCCAGAACCCACAGCTCCAGGGAGAATTCACGGCCCCAGAGAGAACCCACGGCCCCAGGGAGAATCCACAGCTTCAGGGAGAATCCAGAACCCCAGGAGAACCCTGAATCCACAGCTCCACAGAGAATCCACAGCCCCACAGAGAACCCACAGCCCCATGGAGAACCTTCCCTCACCTTCAGTGATGCTGCTCCGGGCCGGATGTGGAGCTCCAGGAAAGCATCCCTACCCTCTGGTGGTTTTTGGCCACTTCCAGCCTGAGCTCTTTTCCCCCAAAAAACCCATTTTTTTCTCAGCGCCTGGGCCTATCAGCCGAAAACAAACAGAGGAAGTAGGTGCAGAGCATCCTTTAATAACAGGGAAAAATCCAGATCTCAGCGGGTGAATCCTCATCCCTCTGTTTCCAAATCCTCAGAGGGGTTTGTGTTGGGAGCTGGGGGTGCCTCTGCCTGCTCTGGGGTGGCAGGGACAGTTGTCCCCTCCCTGCTGTCCCTTTATCCCTCCCGTTTCCCGCAGGTTTTCCCGCTCYGATGAGCTCTCCCGCCACAAGCGCTCCCACTCCGGGGTCAAGCCTTACCAGTGCTCAGCCTGTGAGAAGAAATTTGCCCGCAGTGACCACCTGGCCAAGCACCTGAAGGTCCATCGGGGCCAGCCCTACAGCCCACGGACACTGCCAGGGGGCAGCAGGGGTTAATTCCTGCTGTTCATCCCCGCCAGCCGGAGAACGGTGCAGAAATCACTGAAAAAGGGGAAATGATTCCTCAAAAAATGATGGGAGATTTTGTTATCGCTGAGTTCCAGGGTGATGACATTGCCAGGTTGTTTCTGTCCTTCTCCGAAATACAGCTGATGGAAATCAGAGTGAATTTGGGGTGTGTGGAGGGAAGTGAGGTTACGCTGTGAAACAGGAATCGGGCRTTGCAGCATCCCAAAATCCCAGGATGGTTYGGGTTGGGAAGGGACCYTAAAGCTCATCCCAWGGGCAGGGACACYTTCCACCATCCCTGGGTACTCCAGCCTGGCCTTGRACATTCCCAGGGATCCAGGRGYAGCCRCRGCWYCTCTGGRAATTCCATCCCAGCCCCTCCCCACCCTCCCAGCCAGGAATTCCTTCCCAAAATCCCATCTATCCCTAATGGGAAGCCATTCCTCACATCCTGTCACCCCATCC